AGCACAGGTGTCAAACACAAGGCCTGCGGGCCAAATCTGGCCCTCCAGGCCATTTCATGTGGCCCTTGCACCTCTCCTGTAGGTACTCCCTTGTCTCAGCAGTCGGCAGCAGAGAGGAGAATTCCTCTGCCAAATCCTGCACCTCTCAGTGCAGCCCTAGCACCCCCTCATCTCTGCCTCCCCTGGTCTCAGCAGCAAACTCTGGTAACTGACTCCACTCCTCTGGTCCTCCTCCAGACCCTGCACTTTCTGCTTTCCAGTTCTGCCCCCATAAGGGGTGCACAGTGATGTTAGGGAGGGTGTGGGATTCTTGACATCTGATGCAATTGGGGGGTGGGGTGCTCTGGACATCTAATCTTACAGATACAACCGGCCCTTTGAGGGCGACCATAATGCTGATACGGCCCGCGATGAAATGGAGTTTGACACCCCTGCTATATAGCATCCCCCCATGATACACTCCAGGGAATGTGTCCATAATGGTCTGGGGTCACATATAGTGGGTAGAATAATGCTGCCTTTATGTAGTTATTTGTACACCATTTATGTACTTTGTTTATTTGCACTAAAGACTCCGGTCCCCAAGTGAGGACAACTCCACTACTGGAAACCCCTCAATGGGATGCAATATTATTTGCATAACATTTTCATGCCACGTGGGATTGGGAAGATTTGTTATTGTGTGATGTGTTTTTAGAGGTTTTTAAGGGGTTAAGGTAACTTGTGTGAAATTCAAATAGAATGATGTGTTAAAATAAAATATTATGTTGGTGTAAATGAAGACTGGTCGAGAGGCTTGCTTTGATAGGATCCTTCTTTCTGTCTTTTTGAATTGGATAAATGTCTTCATGTGGAGTAGTGAATCACACATTTTTCTACCGATACACACATAAATACATAAAAAAAACCATTTCCTTTTCCGAATATGTGCCTGTTGTATCCTGTACTTGTATGAAAATCTATCCTGTTCTCTTTGTATTACTTCCTTTGTGTGAAAACCCTGGTGTTCCTGTCAGTCCCTCTGCTTTCCTATTAAAAACTGACCACACCAAGCAGGAGAATGGCATGGTCAGTTCTCTAGCTGTGCTGAAAATCAGCCTGCTCTATTCCATTTATCAGACTTGTTCTGACATGCGCAACCCCCAACCCTCCCGCACAGCCATTCACTGGGAAGATCAGTGTGCTGTGCTTCTCCTCCCTGAGCTCCTTATGCAGCTGGAAACAGAGATTATGTGATCACTTATTGTTTCTCAACCTTTTTTCAGTCAAGGCACCCTTTAAAATTCTGCACAATCTCGAGGCACCCTATTCTAAGATGTACAAAACTGAACTAATATAATGCAGCAACATCCATACATGTAGGATACCCTCACTCAGCTAATGTCACCCCAGTGCTGATAAGTAAGGAAGAGGAGGTCCAACAAGGATGATGGTAAGGGGCAGGGCTGCTGTTAGAAACCACAGGGCCCCATGCAGACAACGTGACAGCCCCCCCCCCCCCAAAAAAAACACAGTTTACTATGCTTTGGTTATGAATGAACACAGTGAGTGCTCAATCGGTACCGAGCACTCATTGTGTTCATCCAGGAAAGAAAGGGGCTGGTAAAATGTGACACATTTAACCCTTCCCCCGCTCTCCATCCTGAAGGATCCTATTGTATGCTTGCAGCTGCTGGTAGGAAGGAGGGGAGGAGAGCTGGCAGCAATGCGAGGGTGGGGGCACACAGGGGGCCTGGGCAGCAGGGGGAAACGTGTAGTGCACAGGGAGGGTGATAATGTGCAACGGGGGGGGGGCAATAACTGGAACCAATCCCCTGTATGGCTTTCTCTGCAGCAGCTGAAAGCCAGTGGGAGGGAGAGGAGAAGAAGCCAGCTTACAGCCGCAGAGAGAACCATACAGGGGATCGGTTCCAGTAATTGCACCCCCACCATGCCGATCACCCTTCCTGCCCACATCCGATTCACCCAGCTGCCTGGGCCCCCTTGCTGGCCTGGGCCCCATACAGGAGGACTGCTGGCACCGTCTTATCCACGGCCGTGGTCAAAGGCCTGATGTCCTCCTTGTCAACCAATGACATCAATGGTTGTTAAGACGCAGGCAGCTCGTAGGCTTCAATAGTACACAATAAAGACCTGTGGCTTTGTGTAACTTAAAAGCAGGCTTCTTCCACCCACTGGCCTGTATACATTTTTGGGCAATTTTTAGGCATTTTACCAAGGCACCCCTGAAGAAACGTGAAGGCACCCCTGGGTGCCTGAGCACCCTAGTTGAAAAAGAATGACTTAAAAAAAGGGGGGAAATATATTTATAATGGTTTTTAAATCTATACACATATGTTTTGTTTTAATTTCTGCTTTAACGGAACGGGTTGATTAACAACGTGATTGTTTACATATACTTTAATAAAGATCACACCGGCAGGAATGAGTTAAAACCTCTCGATTTGTAGTTACGTAATGTCAGGTCAACACACCTCTCTGTTATTTTGGTCTGTCCTAAAATTTGTTGACATGCAATAAATGTTATAATATTACCATAAATAAAAGAGATAATCATTCCTAATGCAATTAGGGGCCCATTGACACCACGTCCATTACACTGCATTACTCAAACAGGCTCAATGCAATGACAAGCTGGAATCCATTGCTTCCAATAGGCCCAGTTCAAAGTGATGCTTTGTGCTGGTGTGCACTCCGTGGAAATAGAACATGCTGCATTGGTACACTGTGTAATGTGCTACAACGTATCACAGCATGCTGCAGAGCCCATTAAAGAAATAAAATAAACGTATTTTTTGGCTCCTGCTGTAAACAAAACAAACTGCAATTTAGTGCAAAGTGTTGAAATAAAAAAATGGGTGCCAATCCATGTCAATTCAAGTGCATTTAACACACGTCAGCGAGAGCTCAATGCAAGGGATGTGGTGTGAATCGAGCCTCAATGTACTTGCTTCGAGGATGAAGAATATATCTTTGTGGCTGCAGAGTAAAGCTGCCTATAGGCAATAAAGAGTGGCCAAGCAACGCAATCCAATCATCAGGGCAAGCTCTGGCAGGAGTGCTGCATTGGGCCCTAAATACTTAAGTTAGGCCCAGTAGAGCTTATAAGTGATATATAGAGAGGGAAAGGGGTGGACGCCAGCTTATCAAACAGGGAATAGCAACAATCAGATTTTCTAACCTGCGCAACCAACTGTCTATATCTCCATCAACATCCGGTGGGTGGCCGGCCATCTCAAAGAACACCCACAGATATGAGATCATCAACGATCTGTCTGAAAAGTGCTGGACTGGGCAACTATGATCTAATGTCCGTGGGTAGACGCGTGCAAAACAAATGCCTTCTGACCCTACAAAGGACAGCACTATTCAAGGACAATCTGATGAAAATGTAGACCTACAGAAACATATCCCATTCCCAAGACATTCTACGGGGTTAGGTTACAGTCAGGCTTGCCACTGAGATGTCACTGTCACCCATCAGGCTGTACAATCAATCATTATCTGTACTATTAATACACAATATTTTTGCATCAATCAGGTCTGTTGACTTATTAAAACACAACCATATTAAATAATGACAGTCTTTATATAAAAATGAAAGTCCAAGAAACCACAGAAGTAATGACCCAAACTGCCAGTACATTGTAAAGTGCCATGAAACCCAGTGGCAGCCTTATATGTGAACACACTTCGTAAACCACCTCCATTCAGAGTCATGAAACTAGATCAGGACATATAAATGATCCACACAGTTATTGGTGTATAAAGTCATGATCTGATTCAACAATTCTTCGCAGAATTAGATAATATGATCAGCTCTATGAAATATTACAAATAAATAAAATAAAAGACACGTATTGGGGGGGATTTACTAAAACTGGAGCACTCAGAATCTGGGGCAGCTGTGCACGGTAGCCAATCAGCTTCTAACTTCAGCTTATTCAATGAAGCTTTCTCAATAAAACGTGGAAGCTGATTGGTTTCTATGCAGAGCTGCATCGGATTTTGCACTCTCCAGTTTTAGCAAATAACCCCCCATTGTGTCATCATTTGATTTTGAGCAAAACCAATGTTATTGAAAATATTCTGATCAGTCTGGATTAAAAAATCCGATCACAGGAAAGTAGATAATTCGATATGATTCTTAAGGCTCACCATACACATGACAGTCTGACCGAACAAACTCTTTACAGATGAGGGCCTATCTCATTTATCCAATCAATTTATATCCAATCAGGCGGACCGTTGCACCACATATTTTGTAGGTAGATCTAAAAGAGATTTTACAAATTGTACTGTGTGTGTATGGAGCATTGTTTTTGATCTTCTGATTGTATTTCCGATCAGACAGTAAATCTTTAGACAATACGATTGTATATAAAAATCACCGCCATTAATTGAGCACTTTTTATCTGCCAGGAGGAATGATTATTTGAAATGTCTGACAGCTTGGAAAGTGTCACTTCTACCAGCTGGAAAGGGATATAAGTGTATGGAATAGGTGGACAATAGGGCCCTACACCCTAGAAGAACATCTGAAAGTGTCATCTCAGTAATCTCATAAATACAGAGGAACAGAATAAACAGAAACATAACAAATAGTGAATATAAGGAGGGATTACCTGTACAACTGGATAAGGATACTCCATGCAGTACACCCCAAACATGCTACTGTCAGAGGCCACTCTGTGAGCAGCGATCCTCGGTGTCGTGTCCACTTTCGCTGAGCCCAGGGAAGGTATATGACCAGGAAGGGATCTCACAAGGAAGGTAGGTGACCAGGAAAGAATATCACGGGAAAGGTGGATCACCAGAAAAGGATCTCACGGGGAAGGTAGGTGACCAGTAAAGGATCTCACGGGGAAGTCAGGTGACCAGGAAAGGATCCCACAGGGAAGGTGGGTAACCAGGAAAGGATCCCACAGGGAAGGTGGGTCACCAGGAAAGGATCCCACAAGGAAGGTGGATCACCGGGAAAGGATCTCGCAGGGAAGGTGGGTCACCAGGAAAGGATCCCGCAGGGAAGGTGGGTCACCAGGAAAGGATCTCACAAGGAAGGTGGGTCACCAGGAAAGGATCTCGCAGGGAAGGTGGGTGACCAGGAAAGGATCTCGCAGGGAAGGTGGGTCACCAGGAAAGGATCTCGCAGGGAAGGTGGGTGACCAGGAAAGGATCTCGCAGGGAAGGTGGGTCACCAGGAAAGGATCTCACAGGGAAGGTGGGTCACCAGGAAAGGATCTCGCAGGGAAGGTAGGTGACCAGGAAAGGATCTCGCAGGGAAGGTAGGTGACCAGGAAAGGATCTCGCAGGGAAGGTGGGTGACCAGGAAAGGATCTCGCAGGGAAGGTGGGTGACCAGGAAAGGATGTCACAGGGAAGGTAGGTGACCAGGAAAGGATCTTGCAGGGAGGGTAGGTGACCAGGAAAGGATGTCACAGGGACTGTAGGTGACCAGGAACGGATCTAACAGAGAAGGTAGGTGACCAGGAAAGGACCTTTCCAGGGAAGGTAGGTGACCAGGAAAGTCGGGTGAGAAAAGGGAAAAGCTGGGCACATGTGTGGATGAGAGAAAGGAAGAAAGGAGAGATAAGGAGGCTCTTCAGCTGCAGCGTCTGCCAGAAGAATTTGGGAGAGACGAGGCGATCGGGACAGGCTGGATCGGTGTGGGACAGCTGGGCAGAGAGGGAGGAGGAGGAGGGGGTCAGGATGGGTGGAGGGGGGAGGTGAGGGGGACAGGTGGCTCGATCACACAACACGATCCCCTATGGCCATGCGTGTGCCTGAGAGGCACATAGAGGGAGGGATGGAGGAGGAGGAGGAGAGGAGGGTGGAGGAGGACAGGAGCTCCTCTCTGCAGCCTTACACCTCTCTACGTTCAATCACAACTCCTGGGGAAACTATGCTTCACATTCACCCCCCCTCCCCTCCCCCATCAACTGACAGCTGCTGAGGGCACTGGGGCGACAAAGGGGAGAGACACAGAAAACCGATCACTCCCCTCCCCCTGTCAGCTGTTCCAGTCAAACTCCCAGGATTAAGCGTGACCGGACGTTATATTGGGAGGTGGAAGGAATCCGGGTGACAGGCAGGGACAGGTGGGCCATCACATCATCACAGAGTACAGGGGACACACAACACATACTACAACACAACTACAGCCTGTATTCAGGTTATGAGACACATCCATCCATCCATCCCAGCAAATACAACACATCCATCCATCCCAGCAAATACACTGCTTCTGCTCACCGACTGATGATCAATACTCCACATCTGGTCTGTACAGCTCAGCATTTCTCCGATCACCATCCACAACTGTCATACATCAGCAGAAAACCCAACTGTCACCTAGACACTATTACATAAGAGCCCAGCCTGCCACCTCGAATCTATCACAATCCAAGGATCTGACCAGCCAATAGAGAACTGCAGTGAGACATCAGGAGAAAACCCCAACTGTCACCTAGACACCACTACGTAAGAGCACAGCCTGTCACATGATCTATAGGGTGCTCACCCCACACATACATCAATCCAATGATCAGACCAACCAATAAAGATCTGCTGTGATTCATAATCATACAAACTCTAAATTGTCAAATATATACTACCATTACATAAGAGCACAGCCTGACATTTATAATGTCCAATCATCAGACCAGCTAATGTAGATCTGCTGTGATACATCATGACACAACCTCCAGTTGTCACCTATACACTATACCTTTACATAAAAACACAGCCTGTCACTTATGATCTAGAGGGTGCTCACCCCACACATACATCAATCCAATGATCAGGCCAGCCAATAAAGATCTGCAGTGATTCATAATCATACAAACTCCAATTGTCACCGATACACTATACCATTACATAAGAGCACAATCTGTCACTTATAATTTATAGGGTACTCAACCCACAATCCAAAGATCAGCCCAACCAATAATAACCTGCAGTGATACACCATGAGAAAAAAAACTGGTCACCTATACACAAAGATCCTCAATACACTAATACCATTTCATAGCAGTATAGACTGTCACTTATAATCTATAGGGTATTCAGCTCACATATACATCAACCCACTGATCAGACGAGCCAACAAAGATCTGCTGTGATTCATAATGATCCCAGCTCCAATTGTCACCTATGCACTATACCATTACATAAGAGCCTTACATTTATAATCTATAGGGTACTCACCCCACAATCCAATCATCAGACCAGCTAATATAGATCTGCTGTGATACATCATGACACAAGCTCCAGTTGTCACCTATACACTATACCTTCACATAAAAACACAGCCTGTCACTTATAATCTATAGGGCACACACCCCACAATCCAATCATCAGACCAGCTAATATAGATCTGCTGTGATACATCATGACACAAGCTCCAATTGTCACCTATACCCTATCATTACATAAAAACCCAGTCTGTCACTTATAATCTATAGGGCACACACTCCACAATCCAATCATCAGACCAGCTAATATAGATCTGCTGTGATACATCATGACACAAGCTCCAATTGTCACCTATACCCTATCATTACATAAAAACATAGCCTGTCACTTATAATCTATAGGGTACTCACCCCACAATCCAATCATCAGACCAGCTAATATAGATCTGCTGTGATACTGTCACCTACACACACAGATCCTTAGTACACTATACCATTTCATAACAGCTCAGACTGTCACTTATATTCTTTAGACTATTCACCCCACACATACATCAACCCACAGATCAGACCAACCAATAAAGATCTGCAGTGATTCATAAAGATACAAACTCCAATTCTCAACTATACCATTACATATGAGCACAGCCTGACATTTATAATCTATAGGGTATTCCCTTGACAATCCAATCATTAGAGCAGCAAATATAGATCAGTGGTGATTCATAATTTATACAAACTCCAATGGTCACCTATACACTATAAATTACATCAGAGCACACCTGACATTTATAATCTATAGGGCACTCACCCCACAATCCAATAATCAGTCCAGCTAATAAGATCTGCTGTGATACATCATGACACAAACACCAACTGTCACCTATACACTATACAACACACTTATAAACTATGGGGAACTCACCCCACACATACACCAATCCAATGATCAGACCAGACAGGTAATATCAGGGGATCCCTGGCCTATTCACTGTAGGAGACCAGGATAGAAGCCCAGCTACTATGAATACAATACAAAAGTCAGCAGCAATGTAGGTGTTAAATGAATGGACTTGGAGATGCAGATTAAGACAGATCAATAACTGTATTTTATGGTGTCATCTCTGCTCTGCATCACCGACTTCTGCCAACTCAAACCATATACGACTTGTGAATAACGACTTTCTCTTTAATGGGAATAGCCACTCTCTTGGTCCATTGATCCTGTGCTGCAGTGAGTTTTGTCAGGCTCAGGCTCTTTGCTTATGACTAAGATCTGCTACATTGGAAAATCCAATACAACACTTCACGACTTTACCAGGTCAGGGATAGTGATGATCGGATGTGCACTTTCTACAAGGAAGAGCGATGGATAGGTTTGTTTAAAGGAAACCTGCACTGAGAACATGGCATTGCTGAGAATGTGAAAGACTGCAGTGTGTAGAAGATAATTCTGCAGTGTGTAGGTGGGCATGACCAGATGGTACCCAACAGTGGAAATAGTTAAAGCTGAACTCCAGGATGCCTACAAATTCTCCCTTGCAGCAGAGCTTTACCCGCAGTGCAAGGATTAACTGCTTGTTTCTAGCTGGTGGACTTGGAAAAACTATTATCTTATCCGATCCTCAGCTCCACTGCACTGCTAGACCGGTCCCTGAACTCTCTTCTCCTCCATGCTCTTGAGGTTTACGATTCCCTGACAGCATCAGGATCAATGCAGGGACAACTGCCCTGTATTTTAAATTAGGACACAGAGGGTCAGTTCACCACCAAGAACATGAGGGAGTGTCACCTGCTAGGTGAGCTGAGTATCAGGTATATAAAAGTACTTTTACCGTCCCCTAGACGGTGAACAGGGCTGTCTTAACGCATGGGCACCCCTGGGCACTACCCAGGGGCCGCAGGTGCATAGGGGCCCCATGATAAGCTTGCATTACATCATACTCGCCAGCTATCGCAGATTTTGCTGGGGCAGCCACGCTTTTTATTGTGCCCTCCTGACTTCCCTTGTACTGTGCCCTACTGCCCCCCTCCCCTTTGTACTGGTAGGGGCCCCAGTGCATTACTTTGCCTAGGGGCCCATGATGCTATGAAGACGGCCATGGCAGTGAACCCTTGCAGCGCAGGCTGCAAGGAAGAATTTCTAGGTTTCTGGGAGTTGAACTTCAAAGCAGACCTCCACACAAGCTCAGCATTTTTAATCCCTCTAAGACTCCAACCCCCTACACCTAAAGCCTCCTGGGATATACAGTTGTGTTCAAATGTTTGCATACCCTGGCAGAAATGGTGAAATTTTGGCACTGATATTGAAAATATGACTGTTCATGCCAAAAAACTGCTTTTTTTATTTAAGGATAGTGATCATTATTATTATACAGGATTTATATAGCGCCAACAGTTTGCTCAGCACTTTACAATACAATGGGTGACAATACAGCAATGATACAGTTCAATACAAGAGGGTTAGGAGGGCCTGCTCCTTGGAGCTTTCAATCTAGGACCATATGAAGCATAGTTGTTTGGCTCCTTTTTAAATCATAATAACAGAAATCACCCAAATGGCACCGAATCAAAAGTTTGCATATCCTGGAATATTTGGCCATGGTACAGACACACAAGGTGACACACACACAGGTTAAAATGGCAATTAAAGGTAATGTCACATCTGTGACGTTTAACTTGCAATTAGTGTCTGTGTATAAATTGTCAATGAGTTTGTTAGTTCTTACATGGAGGCAAGATACTGGGCCATGAGGAGAGGAAAAGAACTGTCAAAAGACCTGCGCAACAAAGTAATGGAACTTTATAAAGATGGAAAAGAATATAAAAAATATCCAAAGTCTTTAATATGCCACTCAGTACTGTTCAATCACTTATTAAGAAGTTAACAATTCTGGGGTCTCTTGGTACCAAGCCAAGGTCAGGTAGCTAAAGAAAGATTGCAGCCACAACTGCCAGAAGAATTGTTCAGGATACAAAGAAAACCCCACAGGTAACCTCAGGACAAATACAGGCTGCTCTGGAAAAAGACAGTGTGGCTGTTTCAAGGAGCACACAATACTAGCACAAAAATTAGCTGTATGGTCAAGTTGCCAGAAAGAAGCCTTTACTGTGCCAATGCCACAAAAACACATGGCTACAATATGCCTGACATCATCTCGATACGGCCTCACTGGGCATTTTTTGTGTCACCTTTTGTGTCACCTTATAAAGTTACATTACCTTGTTACACAGGTCTTTTGACAGTTCTTTTCTGCTTCCTATTGCTCAGTATCTAGCTTGCTCAGTGCATCCACGTGAGAGCTAACAAACTCATTGACTATTTATACACAGACATTAATTGCAATGTAAAATAACCTTGAACTGCCCTTTTAACCTGTGTGTCACCTTGTGTGTCTGTACCAAGGCCAAACATTCCAGGGTATGTAAACTTTTGATCAGGGCCATTTGGGTGATTTCTGTTATCATTAGGATTTAAAATGGAGCCAAACAACTATGTGATATTAAATGGCTTCATATGATCACTATCCTTAAATAGACAGTTTTTTGGTAT